ACCTGGCTACAGGAGGGCAGCATTCCCTGTTTTGCCCTCAGTGCCCTATTAGAAATGAAATTTTAGCTCCTGCAATTATCTTTTATATTCCCAGCAGCCTCTTCTGTGGCTGCTTTGAGCTTCCATCAAAGGAAGGAAATGAAAGAATAAAAATAAGCCACTCCAGGGCTTCTTTGCCAAATGTTACAGCACACACTGGCCACAGGAGAGCAGGCTTTGCTGCTTTGACTAAACTCAGTTTTATAGGTGTTTGCTTATTATGTATATTCCTTTATCAAAGGTGTACTCTGAGTGCCCCTAGGACACAGGTCGGCAACCTGCGGCTCTGGAGCCGCATATGGCTGTTCGTGGCTTATTAATATTAATAAGGTTTTAATAATAAAGAATAATCATCTTAAAACGCCATTAAAGAGGTTTATTTATTTTTGTGGCTGCAGTATCTGATTTGACAGAGTTTTCCGTCCCTTGGCTATATAGGATGAAGGCCATTAAAAAACGCCTACCATGGACTCCAAGCTAAAGCTATGGGACTGAAAACTGTGCCCTTCTGTGGTCAAAAACGGGTATTGGGGCCACCAAAAGAAATAAACCTTTTTAATGGCATTTTAAGATTACGGTATTCTCTATTAACTGTATTAACACATTAATAGGGCCAGGGGAGGCCCGTTTGCTGCAACGTAGGCGCGGAAGAACTCTGCTTCAAAAGCCTTAAACCTAGTTAAGGAGGACTATGATGCCCTATTAATAAGGTTTTAATAATAAAGAATAACCTTAAAATGCCATTGAAAAGTTTTTTAATGGTTCCTCTACCTGCTTCAACCACAGGATGGCACTGTTTTTTGACCCTGAACAGCGTTCAATAGCTTCAATAGATAAATAATAATAATCTTAAAATCATATTAAAAGGGTTTATTTCCTTTTGTGGCTGCTATTCCTTCTTTAACCGTAGGGCTCGATTCTTCCCAGAGGGCTTGACCGCTTTAGTCTCAATAAATAACTTCCCCTCTCCCGGGAAACAGGCGATGGGAGCGTAAGCGGGCCTCCTGTGGACTTTCCTCACTGTTTTTAGAGAAACCCGGTATCTTTCTGGAATCAGGAAATGCGGGGATGACTCGGCTCACCTGAGGCAGTAGCAGGCTTCCTTTTTTCCTTCTTGCGGCCTTGCCGGTAGACGTGCGCTCCGTCAGCGTAGTGCAGAAAAGAAGGGAAAAAGCAGGGAACCGTGCTGCGAACGGACGGGAAGTTGGGGACGGCCTCGACGGATGGACAAGGAAGTCGGCCGTACTGGGAAGGTCGTCGTCAAAGACACCGGGGGACGCCCGCAGCGAACGGACAGGAAGTCCTCCATGGCGAGAAGGTCGCTGCGAAAGGAAGTTGGCAGGGACGACTAAGAAGGACGGACAGGAAGTCGGCCATAATAGGAAGGTCGATTCCCAATGCACTGGGGGAAGGACGGACGGGAAGTCCGGCATGCCGAGAAGGTCTCGGTGCTAATGCTATAGGACGGAAAACTGCCCTCCTGTGGTCAAAACAGGTATTGCGGTCGCCGAAACAAATAAACCTTTTAAATGGGATTTTAAGGTTATTTATTTTCCCCCTATCTTTATTATTAACCCCTTATTAATATTAATAGGGCGACGGGAGGCCCTTTTGCCATTTTAAAGGTTTATTTCTTTTGGTGGCTTCTATAGCCGGCTTGGACCACGGGAGGGCACTGTTTTCCCTCTCTTAGCGATAGCGGCCTACGACGGCCTCGATGCTAATGTTATGGGATGGAAAACTGTGCCCTCCTGTGGTCAAAAACGGGTATTGCGGCTACTAAGAGAAATAAACCTTTTTAATGGAGTTTTAAGTTTACCGCCTAACTCGTTGATCGGACCTGAAGTCCGCCGTGCCCAGAAGGTCGCCGCAAAAGGAAGTTGGAGGATGACTAAGAACGGACCGGAAGTCGGCCATGATGGAAAGGTCGTTTTTCAAAGGACCTGGCGGACAGCTGATTTGATCGGACAGGAAGTCCGCCATGCCGAGAAGGTCTTCTGTGAAAGGAAGTTGGGGGAACGAGGGAAGCAGAAGACGACAGATAGAATCAGAAGCGGAACCAGAAGCATAAAGATAGAAGCAGAAAAAGCCAAAGCTAGATACAAAGAAGAGAAAGAAGTAGAAAGATAAAAGATCTTGAAGCGGAAGACAGATATGGAGAAGCGGGAGGAATGTGTTACTGTTTAGCATGGGAAACAAATCTTGTACCTCTGGGCGGGAAGGCGGGCTGTTTCCGGCAACCTGGAGAGGAAAGGGAGGAATCTCCTGCCCTTCCTAACCCTGTCTTGCTTTGGACAAAGGTCTACAAAGTTCTACAAAGTTAGATGGATGGCAAACAAATTAATAAATTCCATGAGTTCCAACTACTCTTGTCTCGTCCGTTTTATCCATACTTTAAATGATAAATCTATAAGGCACCGATATATACACTTTCAAAATAAATTATATTTATTTTTATATCAATTTATATTTATCATTTAATAAAAATGTACACAATTTATTTCAATTAGATATTTAATATTCAACGTATATTAATATATAGGTATCTCTAAGAAATATAGTTTAGAAACATCAAACGTAAATACAAACGTACATACGTACAATCTCCTTAAAGAAATGGCAGGGCAGGACAAACAAAACTATTCTTGAATAAAAACATCTTGGTTTGGTTGAAGGGAGTGAGCGGGGTACACTTTTAAGAGGAACCTATTAAGATCTTGTAAAGTTTTCCACTTAGCCTCACAATTGTCCCAGCATTACTCAGGAATTTAAAAGAGCTGTGGGAAGTCAAAGCCCCAGAGAAGGAAATATTAAAAAGGAAAAAATATTTTTCACCAAAAGGATTTTTAAAAGCATTTTTTGAAAAGCAGAAACCAAACCTTGCCTCATCTCTTTGCCCAAACAGTAGCTAGGCCTATACAAATGCAGATGTGGAACCATCAGGAAGTTTGGAGCCAGGGATCTCAAGACAAAGGAAGCTCTTAAGAGTCATTAGCCCCATCACCAGGGAAACAGGAGATGACTTTTGGGACATAATGGGACTAACCATTACCATCAAGTATACCAGAGAGGCACACCTGGGCTCAGGTCAGAATACGTGANCTTTCTTCTCTGCTCTTTCCTGAAGAGCCGTCTCTGTGCTTCTGCAATAAACTATAACCATCTTCCCAAAGCAGTCACCATGTTGCTTATTTAATAATAATGATAATATTCCCGGCTTGGATGAACCAGGATGAAGACTTACTTCTGACAGAGCCAAAGAAACTCCTGAGCCGAAGTTTCAGCAAGCAAACAACTTTTATTTTGATCAAAATAGAGTTGGGTGACCCCATCTCTCTTTGTGGCAGGTAAAGACATGAAGGCAACAACCAGGAAAGATGTCTTCCACCTTTTATACCTTTTCAGAGCAAAGAGATCAGGTCTTGGTACCAGGCATAAGATAGCACTAAAAAATAATTCCTAGACCTAGATGATGACTCATACACAGCAACCCAGGCTCCATCCGTAACTCCTTTTCCCCCTCCCCTTACCGTGCACCTTTTTTGGATGAAACCTTGTAGGGTAGGCAAGGCGGGTTGTATGTGTGTGAGTTCCGGCACCTTTTTTTTTTTTTTTTACAAAAAAAGCACTGAGCATAATAAAATCCCTTCACCTGCTTTTGTTTGGTCATTTCCCTGCCCCAGGGAAACAAAACTGTAACTCTTAGAAACCTGAATGCTACACCCTAGCCAAATGCCAATTCCACTCTTCCACCTAAATGGAAACAACACTTTTGGGATTGTCTGCAATATGTTAACTCTCAGCCTCTCTGACAAGGCACACGTAAGGCAAGATACAACTCTCAGTTCAGATCATTAAATGATGCCATATACGGTGCATCCAGTTGATGTCACGTGCCCTCCGAAACGACTCATCAGGGCAGCATTAAGGAACCGCCATCTTCCCACAGCCTTCCGTTGAGCCAGGGCGCATGCGCGAGCCCGCTGGCCCGTCCCTGTACGTCGCACGTGGTGTCCTCGGCGCACCTTGTGACGCGCAAGGCGGCGGCGGCGCCGGCCTGTGAGCAGCAGTAATGCTTCGGCTGGTGCTGCGCGGCGCCTCAGCGCTAGCCGGGGGTAGCCGCCCCAAGCTCGTCGCGGGGGCGGCGGAGGAGGCACGTCAAGGGCCGGGTGAGGAAGGGCTAGCGGGCGGCCAGACGTCTAGCCGACATGGGGCAGCACCTGTCTCTACCTTTCCCTGCCCTGCCCGCGCTCTGCACCGCTTCCCCCGCTGCCGTCGGACTACAGCACCCATGTTGCTCTGTCTGCACGAGTGCAGGATGCGGGGATGGAGGGGTACATTCGCCCTTGGCCACGGTGGAGTTGCCCGCCTGGGGCTCCCTCTCGAAACGGCCCCGTTTCTGGCGAGGAGGATCGCGGTCTGGTAGGGCTGGAGGGAGATTCGTGGCGTCGCCCGGACCTGATTCGCAGCGGCGGGAGGAAAGAGTCTTTCCATTGGGATTCTCATTCCTGGCCGCTTCTCTGCAGGCTGGTTTAAAAGAGGGCAGGAACTGAATAACATCTGGTACAATATATTCACGGTATAAATTCGCCTGCCCTGTTTCAGTTTCGCGTGCCCGGGAACCCAGCGCTTTTGTTCGATCGTGCATAAAAATATCTCGAAAACACTGCCCTGAGGTTAAAAACAAGCAAGCACCTGGCTTGTGAGCCTTTTTCTTCTTCTCCGTCTTCTTGAAGGGCAGGCAAGGAGAAAAACCACCTGGTTCTTCAAAATCGGAAAAAATGCTCTTAGACTAACAGGCTACTTAATCTCCCCACACAGAGTCTGGTTTATTTTTGTTACTACATGACTTCCAGCAAGAAGATGGTACTGCAGTGTCTCAGCGTGTTGTTCTGAACTGGTTCTGTATACATTTTTTGTCTTTTCAGGGAACAGCCCTTTCCTCCAAATAATCAGAAAATATGCCAGGCCTGTCCGGAAAAAAAAAGAAGGTATATATTATAAATTGTTCAGCTTGGTTCTCATTGTGCCTTCAGGGCGGAAAGGCAGAACATAAATTAGTAAACGGTTGGTTTGGATTCTGGTTGCTGAGGATTCTTTGTTTCTATGGATTTGAATCTTTGTCCGTAATCCCAAGCCCTGATCCACTGAAATGGAAAAATAAAAGGTGATAGTAAATTGTGGTACCTCCCTCCCTTTCATATCAATAAACACATTGGCTCAGAAAATTGGAGGGCTGGATTTGCTTCTGACTTCCTAGCAATTGATCTTACAAAAGTAGCAATTTCTTCCACTTCTTTCTCCTTACCACCAGTGAATTGAGGGGGACCTTGAAACTCTTAAAATTCCATTTTGGGGGTATCTACAGATACTTGTTTGGCCACTATAGAAAAATAATTGCTGAACAAAAATTTATAACAAGAGAACAATTCTGTTTCAAGCCCTTTCTTTTTAGCTATCTCCAGCCATTTGGATGATCTGCCTGGTACAACGCTGAGGAAAGATTATGCCAATGTCTCAGCTATAGACAAGTAAGATTTGCAGGGATTGGTGGGAAATGGGGGGGGGGGAAGAGGGGAACAGAGTTTCTAGTGCCTCTTGGTAACAATTCTGTCATCTGCCTTATTTTACAGTTGGAAGGAAAAAAGCTCCCAAGATACAATCACACAAAATACCCACCCTTCATATATGATCTGTTAATATTCTCTGGGGGGGGAAATGGTCCCTTCAGCATTACTTTTTTTAAAATATATATATAAATATTAATTTTCTAGTTTTACAATCAAACACTTAATAGACAAAGTGTTGTCTGGGTCCGTTAGTAATTCAGTTGTATATAGTAACTTCTTCAATCTAGATCCAATATTACACCATCAAATATTTCTCTATTCTTCCGGTAATACCTGTTTTCCCACACTAGACAAATACAATTCTTATTGTTATTAATAAATATACAATTGAATATCAACATCTTTGTTTCATTTTTCTCATAATATCAATAATGTTAGTTTTAGATAACTTTTCTAACCAAAATATATCTTAATTGCATTTGCACTTAATATCCATATGTTCAATCAGTATCCTGTTTTCGCTTTTTTAAAAAAAAAATAATTTCCCATCAGTGTTCAAAATGTCTATTGTTTATAATTTCAAAGTAAGTTATATTTGGGTAACTAAAAGCTTCCCTTATTCAAACTTCTTAACGTTTTCCTGTTTCCCTTCTTGTACCAAAATCTAATATTCTAGTTACAAATACTTCTATTTCTAGCAATTATCTATTCTCCACCGTATTCAGACATCTAGTTAATATAATATCCTACCTAATGGATCAAAACCTCTATTTTCTTCCTTTGCCAACTAACTTTCCAAGTCAATGCATTTGAATCATCAAGTAATTTTTCCTCTGTTTTTGTGTATATTGTTTGGAATAAGAAAGACTATTTAGTTAAAGTATTTTTGGAAAAACGAACCCATTGATATTCATTAAACAGCCTCCATCCTTCTCCAATTCCCCACAGTTCTCCTAACAGTTCTGTCTTCCATTCAATCAGTTCCTCTTCCTTTTCCTCAAATATGTCCTGAATTCTTGATTGGTAAGATGTCTTTTCCATTTCCGATATTATCGCTCCGTCTTCTAGTTCTTCAGTTGTCTGAATCTATTGGTTGGTTCCTTCCTTTAGGTCCTCAATCTTTGGATCTGCTTACTCTAGTTTTCCTTCTATTTTCTGGGTTGCTAGTTCCTTCTTTGTAGTCATGTTCTGGGTTTGTAAATTTAGATTAGAAAATTGTTCTTTTATCTCCTTTGTGTTATTTTTAGTCTCATCATGAGCTAAAGCAATAGTCTCTTGTATTGATTTTAACATGGAGAGAATTTCTTTCTGATCTTCATCCATATTTTCTTGGTAGTATGTCAAACTGAAGACTTTGGGGACAGGTGTTAGAGATGGTCTTTTACCATTTAAAGCTGAGTATGGGACATCCATTTCATTTTTTGTAGGTGGTCTTTATAATAAAAATTGCTCATCAATCAAGGATTTGTAATCCAAAATACTCCATCATCTCAAGCAATGAAGTGTATTTCTCCTGCAGGGAAATAGTTCCACAACACAGCTCTAAAAGTCAGGTAATATTTATATTCGTAGTTCAGTTTCAAAATAATTCATCGTCTCTGCCACATCATAAGCAGCCCCAAATATTTATTTTCCCTTTTCCCAGCTGTGAAAGCTTTCAAGGTTAGCAAGAGTCTTATCTAAATCTGGGCTTCAAGCCAAGTGTCCTTTAGGCATAACAAATTGTGGTGCCATAATTTGCCACTAAATGTCATTAGCACCGTTTTCCAGCTTTTTAAATCCCAATTTGTAATATAAACTTTTCAAATCTCTTAAAAAAAAAAGTCTCAAAAGCACTTTTAGTCCCCAAATTTCAAAGCCATAAATGTACATTAATTCCAAATTGATCTTGTAATTTTCTCTATTTCCCCCAAGTAATTAATTCACCACTTTTCTTTTTCTGAGGGAATGGGGTGGAGATTCCCCTTCCCTCTCTCATCGGGGAGGGTGCTTTGGGCAATTATTTCCAGGAAGAAGTCCTAAAGTTATAAAGGTCTCACACAGTTTCATCCACATTGCTGAAAGGTTGCTTGTTAGTGCTTATTGTCTTCCGTTGTCAGCAGCTTCTGACTGGCTACACGAATGTAGCCAGTCTTTCCCCCATCAGTTTGGAGGGCTTCCTCGGATCAAACGGAAGGGCCGCCGCTCTCCCACGATCAACGAGGGTCCCATCCTTGCTTGTTGCCTCTACGGGGCAACTTTCAACCCTTTCCAGGGTCCCCAGCAGGGCGAAATCGACCATGAAAGATGGAGCCCCGTCTCCCTGCGCCGCTTCCGCTGCAACTTCAAAACCGGAAGCCCCTTCAGCATTACTTTTAATTTCCTTTGCTGCATCCTAAAAACCATTTGATGCCAGTGGAAAATGCTAAACCCCTCAGGAGATAAATAATAATAATAAATCTGTGCTTTCCTGCAGGGTGGATGATGTTGTCAGAAGAATGCTGTCTCTGGAAATGGCAAGTCAGGTTAGTTTTTGTTTTCCTTTTATAGAAAGTTTGGGATTTACCAGCAAATACTGCTACAAAATAACCCTTTAGATCACCTTAGGTCAGGGAACAGACATCACAGGAGCTACCAGAACTGTTTTATTGTTTTAGGCCCGAGGGTATAATAATAGAATATGAAAAGCCTGTCAAAATTTTTCTCTCTCCTTTTGTTCTAAAGAAAATTAAGAAGGAGTTTTCTTCATCTCCTGTCTCTCTGGGCTCAGCTGATGTAATGGTCACTGAATTTCTTTTTCAAGGCGGTTCTCCTTCATTATTACTATCTTGTGAGAGTTCCACAATTTACCTTTGTAAAGTATCTGCCACGTTTGCCTGATAGAGTGATCAGTATTAATTGCTTTCAGTACTGCCTTCACTTTGTTTAAATCAAAAACATGGTATTGTATAGTTCAAAAGCAGGGTATTGAGTTGAATTTTTCAATAGGTGTGTATTTTTTTAATTCATAGAATGCAAAACATTTCAAATCAAGCATCTGGAGATTGTAATACTTTGTTTCAAAAGAGAAACAGTCTTTCATGTTGTTATCCCATTTAGCATTAGTATACAGGTAGTCCTCAGATTATGACCATTCAGGACCATTCAGAGTTATAATTGTGCTGAACAAGGAGGATTTATGGTGGGTCTTGACGTTTCAGCTTTCACAATGTCCCCACAGTCATGAGATTACCATTTCTACTCAGAGTTGCTTTGGATAGTGAAATGGGCACTATATAAACGTAATAAATAAAATTTCTAATGTTCCCTGCTAGCTTCCCACAAGTAAAGTCAGTGGGAAAGTCGGCAAGAAGTCGGAAGTTATGATCACATGAAATCCTTGCTTAATGATCTGTGCAGTCCTCATGACAGCAACCAAGACTGCTGGAATTGCCATTGTTAAGTGATGTGATTACGTGACATGCTTTACAATTGAATTGCTTAGCATCAGAATTCCTGGTCCCAATTGCTGTTGTAAGCTAAGGACTGCCTGTATACCAACAGTCATGATGTTTGTGAACCTTCAGTGTTCTTCATGATTGTGTTTGCAGAACATACTTAATCAGCTGACCAAATCAACCCATTTCTGAGTTTGTATAATTCTTCTTAATCATAAATTTGATTAGTACAATAATACCAAGTCACAACAATTGTAACAAAAGTTTTTGAATGAAAAGAATCTTAGTATGCTTTATAAATCTCAGATGCAACTGATTTGATTAAGTGTGAACAGTCCATATACGATTTTATGGGTTCTGTGATAGCAAAATTCCCACTTCCTTCTATAGTAGGCAAGTAACTTTGAGGCCCTTTCCCTCAGGATTTTCATCTGAAGCCCTAAATGGAGCTGTACTAACATGCTGTATATGTTGAGAAACTGTCCGAAATGTTGACCTCCATTCCCCAAGTATCACCAATGTCTTCTTGTGCCTGTAGAGGGAAAAAGTGAAAATGAAGAAAGAGCAGCTGGCAGCCAAAGTCCGCAGGAACCCAAATGACTGTGGATCTGCAGAGGTTCAAGGTAGGCAGAAATGTGGAAGCTATCCCTCCTCCCCCTTAGCTCCACAGCTGCCAGGAAGACTGGGCATCACCCAATTGTGTTTTGGAAGGGCCTAATGGACATCTGGAGAGTTATGATTTTCAATTTGTAACTGTTTTCAGGAACTGGTCAAGCAGATGGAAAAAAAATCTCCACTGCAGTAGCTGTACTTGTCTGTGGAAGGGTGGATGTGAAGTATTGTTGGATACATCTGAAAGTTGACTCATTCCTTTTCATATAAAAGGAAAATTTTATATGTTTTCTTTTCTATTTCCCCAACATCAGAGTCTATACTTCTGCCAGTGTAATTGGATACAGTTGCTTTGTATAATTAACGAGAATATATATGTTTTCTTAATGGCCTCTAAGTTTAGAATGTAGGTGGTTTGAATTAGGTTGTGTGTGTTTGTGTGTGTCAGTTTTTTTTTCATTTCTTATAAGACTCAGTGCCTTGTATCTGTCAGGACCCACTTCAACTAATCATCCAAGAAAGCAGAACTCTTGAAACAGGCATTGCCTCAAAAGGAACTTTTATTAGGGACTAGTCATAGCAGGGAATGTAAGGCGAGATCTGAAGAAAAGCCTGCATGAATGATATAATTAAAGCAAGCAATATGCCCCCTCCTGCCAAAGTCATAATGTCCGTTTGAACTCCAGCCAATCCACAGGTGGCCTGGTGAGCAGCTGACTTGCACGCAACTCAAGGTCTTCTCCAGCTTTCTTTCCTTGCAACTGTCTCCTAGATAAGGAGAAGCATTCCATACTCAGGAGGAGGAGGAGGAGGCCAGACCAAGAAAGAGGAAAAGGAAAGTTACCAACATATTCCCCCCATGCACCCCCTCCTCCAACAGAATGGCAGGCCCCAGAAGAAGAAAGGCAAAAGAGAAGAGGCGAGGGGTTTGGGGGATCTGACAGTATCCCACCCTAGCAGGAATTTGGCATGACATCCAAGATGAATGCTTCTTCCCCCTCCTCTTCTCAAGCAAACCTGAATTATATTCAACAATAATTTCACCATTTACCCAGAAGCAGATAAATTGTTGCTGCTGTTCCTTTCTGTTTTGGCCTCTGGCAGAGAAAAGAAGTGGTGCCTGATTCACAGATCTTTGAAAGAATAAGTCAAAGGAGATGGAGGATATTTTATCTTCCAAGAGATGTGGTAGTCACCCATTTATGCCTCTGACTATGTAAAGTGTTTATTTTCAACTTCATTCAAAACGATTTCCTGAAAACTTATATAAGACAGTTTAAAATACTGATTAAGGGGCCAAGAGACTTTAGGACAACCGCACTCTCTCAGTCCAATCCACCTCATGGGGTTATTATTCCAGGACAAATAGGAGGTGGGAGCATTGGATGCATCATCTTGCACAAATGTTTTGTTGTACAAAATAAAAGGGATGTAAAATCTAATAATAAATTTAAAAAATAAGATCAATAGTAATTACTTTATACAAATACCTATCTACAGGCTTTTTGTATCAAAAAATGCAACATAAAAGGAAAAGGAATGAGAGAAGGAAGAGGCAATGAATTCTTAAAGAATATAGTGCTTATGATGATTGGTTGGACTAGAAATAATTGAGATGCCTAGTAGAGCTGATTATTCTGCTGATATGGTCCTACTTCCTGTTTTCACACCTCTCCCTCGACTTCTTTCAGTAGAACAAAGAAACAACAGGGAACTAACTCAATTCCCACATGTAAGACTGTGCTCCCTTTCACCGAAAAGAAAAGCTGCCTCTTAAAAGCATGTCTGGCTGCTAATGTTCATGTGTACTCTTTAAAATAGGAGAAGAAAATATAATAGGAGCTTTTCTAACTTTTTTTCTTAATGTTCTAGTTGCCCACCTGACAGCCATGATCCGCACCCTCAAAGAACATCTGCATATGCACCCCAAGGTACGATTTTTTAAAGCATTTCAGCTGCTTGTTATGTAACCTCCATAAAGACTGTGTCTCCTAAACCAGCAGATTTTATTGAAAAGCACTGCAATCAAATGGATGGCAGAGAATTGGATTTCTGGCAGTCCTTTTTGAATGTAAATATCTTCAGATGCAAAGTAGTTCATTCTTCAAATAAACCTCACAAAATTCTATATAGATGCATACCCATCACACTATTGTTTTCTTATGGAGCTGCTAGATGATGTTCCTTAAGAGACGAGATCTGGAGAAGCTAATGAGAGAAGGGGGGAAGCTAAAACCAACGGCTATTTCTCACCCTTTGTTCTCACCTTGCAAACTGTCCTTGTTTTCCATCGTCCATCTATCATCTTGTACATTGTTCTTTCATCATTAAAATTTTGAACTTTTCTTTTTTGAGGACCCAAAGGTGCTTTTTTAAAAGGGAATTGGACCTTCTTCATTTTTCCTTGAAGTCATTTCACTTCTTCAGTTCTAATTGAAGTGTCTTGGATGAGAAGCGAAACGTCTTCAAGGAAAAAAACAAAGTCTAGTTGCCTTTTGAAAAAAGCAGCTTTGGGACAACCATGATCTGGATGACTGAGAATCTCCACAGACATCTTTTTTGAGTATTTCAAAACAGCATCCAACCATACCTTGCTCAGTCTTCCCTTTCCTCACAATCCATTCACTCCTCCTTCATGAATTTATTTTGCAATTCAATTTTCATTCATTTTATCTACCATGTATGACCAAGCTGTCCAAAAATATATATTTTCTAATGGTCTGTCACTTCTATATTTAGTCCTCATTTATCATCTTTTTGTTTTCAATCAACTTTTTATGTTTCTCTTAGCATGTCTACCTCTCATTTCCTAATATAGTAACAAAATGGACAGAAAAACACTTGCAAACAGCCACCTTTTTTATTTTTTTCAACAAACATTCCTTTAAAAAGTCACATGTATCCATTACCTTTCCACCGGTACTTCTTAAATGTTATCCTTCTTACACCTTTAGGGGCACAAATTGTTCCTTTTTTGCCATTTAAAGTTTACTTTGTCAAATATAAGGTTTTGGTACCTTAATTATTAGATCATACTGTCTAAAGTTTCTTGCAAATTTTTCAGTTCTCAGCCACAAATACAGTATCATCTGCATGCAAATGTTCGTGCAGATTCACACTCCCACACTGCATATCTCTGATATCACCATTATTCCTTATACATTTAGCCATAAATGCATCAAACAGTCAAGGGAATCTCCCACATCCTTGCCTGACTGTCTGTTCAATGTTGGATTGCCCCCTTCCATTTTTTTCTCAGTCATCCTTCACAGGTAATCATCGAATTATGACAGTTCACTTAGCGATGGTTCAAAGTTACATCACTCCCATAAGAACTTATGACACCGTCCTAAAGTTATGAATGTTGCAGCACCACTGCAGTCATTCATCCTTACAACTGACCACAGAGACACTGCAACATTTCCCCTGCCTATTTCCCCTCCCCCCCCCAGGACTTAACAGGCACTGGGCCTATGGATACTCACTTTGCAAAGATCTCCATGATCAGGTGAGCTGTCTCCAGCCTCTCTACTGTGGTTTTTATGCCGGCTCCCGGAGCTCTAATAGAGCAGTGAGAGCAGAGTCAGAGCGGGACCAGCGGGACCCTAGGGAAGAATGAGGTATATTAGTAGGTGGGAGGAGGCCAAGTTCGTTGGCAAGCTGAGAAGCAATAATGGTCACAACAGCATAATTGCGCTTAGAATTTGACATTTATGTTTTGTCATTTCATTAAGCATCATTTTATATAGATTGTGATTACTCAGGGCACAGCACAGAGGCAATGCAGTCAGCTGGCAATTCAAACCGCCCTTTAATTGCTCCAAATTTTCCCCAAATGCTCCCACGTTTCTGGCAAGCCTCCAAACAAGGAAGACACACACACCTTCAACCGCCTCTGGCTGCAAATAGTTTCACATACAGTCTGATTAGGAGAGGAATTTACTCAAGGCCACGGAGATAACAAGGAATGACACATAAATCATAAACCTAACACGCTTGCCTGAGCAGTTTCAAAAGGGAAGCCAAAATACAGTCCAAGATCTTTGAACATCCAAGCAACGTTGTCAGCCAGTCCAATGGTCAGAGTTTCCGGGTTTCCAAGCAGAAGTCACAGAACAAGAGATCAGCAACAACACACACAAAACTCCAAGGAATCAGCATTTGTTCCCGACAAATGCCTCTCCCCACAGCGTCTCCTTAAATCTCAGTATCCAGGTGTGTCTTGTGGAGAGGGGCAGGATGCTCTCCTCCTGAGTAGTTGAGCTTGCCTGCATTGTTCCCTCCTTCTCTCTCCGTGCTCTAGGATCAGGTTGGGGTGGCCCTTGCTCATCGCCTGAACTCTGTCTCTCCTGTTCATCCTGTCCCAATCCTGAAAGGCCCTGGCCTGCCTCGGCCTGCTCTTCCCCACATTCCTCTGAAACCAATGACACCTCTCCCTCCAGGGAGGCATGACACAGATTCTGTTAATGTAACCATGGAATTCTGTAAGATTGTTTTTTTTTCATTTGTTTTCAGGCAGCCTCTCTCCATTCATTCTGTAATGAGAATAATCTGTCTTCTAATATTATTCAGGATTCAGCCTTTTCCCCCCTACATTTATTCTTCTTTCACTCCAATTTCTTTTGGGGTTTTTTCTTCCATATCCAGTTTTCCCCAAAATTCATTCTTGATGCTACCAAAAACTAATTGCTATCACATTCAAAACTTTGTATCATTCTTGCATTGTTGTTTTAGCCATCCAGTCATCTCTGACTCTGTGACTTTATAGGCAAGTGCTCTCCAGGCTACCCTGTCAAGCAGAGCTTCTTTCAGTTGTTCATCTTTTTATCGGCTTTGATGGAATCAAGCCAGTGTGTTCTTTGCTTGCCCTTTCTTCTAGATGCCCTAAATATTCCTAGCATCACTGACCTCTCTAATTAATTTGTATGCATGACATGACCAAAGTAAATGAAATCAAAGTCAATCATTCTTGTATATCACTCACTAGTTTTCTCAAATTTTATTCACAGATGATCCAGCCAGTTATGCTTTTAAATTCATTTTTTTTTTCATGTGTAGAGTTAGGCTTAAAACAAACATAGCCTTTTCTAAACAGATACTCCTCAGTCTCCTTTTCATTCATGCCAGATAGTTGTGGAGTGGGCAGTGCTGAAGCTGGGGGCAGCAGTGAAACAGCACATCTTCCAGGGCAGTTGCAGGGATGAATTTATTATTTTTAAAAAAACATCAGCTGGCCACATATTGTATGGCCTGCTCTGTGGATTCCTTCTTTCATACGTACCCATAACAATCAAGTTGATGTGAATTAGTACTTCCCAAAGTACATTTTAGGCATAATTAAGCCTACACCTTCCTTTCCCTGCATATATCCAATAATTCCATAAGAGTAGACCATCTTCATTCAACTCTGTTGCATCTTCCCACTTTCATCATTTCACAAAGATACATCATGCCTATTTTTCTTTTGGTCATTTAATTTGATTATTTGTGCCCCTTGCATGCACTCTTCTGGCATTCCAAATTTCAGTTTTCCAATAGCAAGGTCATCAATAGATATATTGATATTGACCACCATCACCATAAAACTTTACATTAACATGGAAATGGAGTTCAGGTTACCAGCCTGAATTGTTACTATGCCACATATTATGATGTTCCCTACTAACTCCTAGTCAGTCCTGGCATATTATGGCAAATTTCTAGTCCAAAGACTTCATTGCAAGTCAGTATTCTATTGCCTGCATCTCATAAACTAGACGATTACATGCTTTAGATCCAATTCTGAGAAGCATATTTTTAATACTGGTTTGTTTCTCAGAGATCACAGTATAATCAATAATATTCCTTATTCCCCAACACAGTGGGTTTTTTTCCTTCTAGGAAATTAGCAGTTGTTTATTATTGCTGCCTTTCAATAAACTTGCAAGTTTATTTAAATGCTGTCAGTAAATTATTAACCAGAAAGTTGAAAAATTAAAAGACTTGAATCCACGAATAATTCACTGAAGAGGCTATAACTTTCTAGGACAAGGTTAACCTTACCCGTATGATGATAGCCATTGACCGTCGGACTGTGTTGCTGAAATACCTACGTAATAACCACTATGATATCTTTGAGAATACATGCAAGCAGTTGGAAATTGAGTATTCACCTCCTCCACAATACCGGCGAAAAATCACACGGCGCGCAGTTGTCAAGAAGGAACTTCGAGCCATGGTAGGTTAAGAATGGCTGGCCGAAGGTGACCTACGGCAACTATGGGCAACTGCAGCTTGTATATCATAGAGAACTTGGTTTGGGATAGGCATGTTCTGCTCTTCTGCAGAGACTTCAGACAAGGAAAGAGGCTTGGAAGGCCACTTTCTTCAAGGATCCTGTCCAATAGGTGAACAGCATTTATGTCCCCAGTGTTAGAGTGGGTGGGTAAGGATAGCATGTAAGAGAGCAGGAAAGCATAGGCGGCATGGCTAAGTGAAGAAGTACATTCTCAGCAGCAGTGAACAGCTTGTGGATAGAGGCCCTGTCTTAATCTTTGCAGAAAATAGCATGACTTAGCCATAGCTTATTCCTTTGACCATTATCAGTTGGCTTCATGCTTCACATTCAGATAAAATGGAGCAAACTACATTATGGCTTGGTTTTTTACTGTCTCATTGTAGCAGTTGCAGCCATAGGAATGGGGACATTCTTGTATGGTGGCAATGGAAGCAGAAGCTGCTTATTTCTCTAGGGTGACAGGCATTTGGGTAGCTAAATCCCCAATTAAATCTCTCCTTCCCATTAATATTTAGGTCCATAAAGAGAAGCAAAAACTAAGAGCTCTGGAAAGATTGAAGCAAATGGAAAAGCAAGATGGAATAAGGGAGCAAGCTCAGCCAAAGGAGGAGACCCCAGGCTGAACTAGGCATACCTTCTGTCGATGAGAGGAGAAGCTCAAACCAAGGAACAAATTTTAAAGATAATAAAACATTGGACACCAACTTTTCATCTGCATCTATGTATGTGCACATATGCACACATCCTTTTTTTTTTTTTTTACTTCATGTATGCGTTTGAGGTGTAATAAGGATGTTAGATTGGGGATCTCCAAACTTGTCAACTTTAAGATTTGTGGACTTCAACTCTCAGAATTCCCCAGCCAACATAGATTCTGAGAGTTGAGGTTTACAAATCTTAAAAGTTGACAAGTTCGAAGACTCTTGTGTTAGACATTAGTTATTGTTCTATTTACCTAAATATTAGTAGGGATTGTTCTGCCATTCTCAGAGTTCAAGGAGGGAGATCCACCAAATTAGATGTAACCAAGAAGCATTATTCACTGTCCTCTTCCCACAGGACTCAGCCATGTACTACCAGCAGATGTCAAGTCCAGTGGCACCCTTGTTGTGATCAGTGCAAAACAGGATTTGTTTCCATCTTCTCAGAGTGCCTCGGTTTCTTTTTTAAGAATTGAAGTGGAGACCCTCAATTCATGAGTCAAAAATATTCCATTGTTTGGACAGAACTTGCGAGTTTATAACTGACCCAGCTTATTTTTTTTCCCTGAGTAGTCCATATAAAAATACTGAAAGACTGGCGGCTTTGGCCGAATGCAGCCTAAGAAATAGGAGCAGAACTAAGGCTCTTTTTTTTTTTTGCAAAGGATCTATTACATATCTCGGGTATTATTTCACAAAACTTGCTTTTTGTTTTCAATAAGCAGTAATGTGTAATTTAAAAAAAAATACTTTGAAATGTTCAAGACTGAGTGTTTACGTTGTTAGGATTTTTGAATTCCCCAGCTTTGTGCCATCAGTAACAGAGTTGGAAGGACTTTGGAGGTCTTCAGTCCAATACCCTGTACAAGTGTCCCCCTACACTGTTCTGGACAAATGGCTGTCAAATTTCTTCTTAAAAAATCTCCAGTGATGGAGTAGCCACGACTTCTGGAGGCAAGCCATTCCACCTATTAATTGTTCTCACTGTTAGGAATTTTCTCCTTAATTCTAGGTTGTTTCTCTACTTGATTAATTTCTATCCGTTGCTTCTTGTCCTGCCTTCAGGTGTTTTGGAGAATGGGTTGACCTCCTCTTCTTTGTAGGAGCCCCTTAGATACTGGAATACAGCTATCATGTCACCCCTAGTCCTTTTCATTCAACTAGACATACCCAATTCCTGCAACCATTCAAGATGTGTTGTGGTTATTTTGAACGCATCTTGAATGATACCAAATTTTGGGAGAGAAGCAAGGTGGCAGGTTCCTGGGATGTAGAAAGTTACCTGGGAATGCAATTCTTTCCCCTACATTAACCTTCCTACCTTCAGTGCTGGGGCAGACACTTGTACATATGTAATGTCAGTTGAGCTATTTGGGAAGAACAGCCTAGGAATCCAGGACCATAAGCAGTCTCCTCACCAGAGTTCTGATTTACAATCTGAAGCAGCAGGATCTACTCTCCGCCTTTGTCATAGCTGTCATTCTGCTGCTTGCTTCTCATTGCATCCTTTGCCAGGTTGACATCAGCAACGGCGGGGGGGGGGGGGNGGGGGGGGGGGGGGGGAAGGGTGAGAAATTGGAATGTGAGTGTTAGGGAGGGTTTGGCTTTGAAGCAGAGCCAGCCCTGACTATGAGGAGCTTTTACCGAGGAAGTTACGGAAACGATGTCTGCTCCAGGGAAAGAGCCAGAGCAGAGGAAGAACACTGGGGACAAGGCAGAGGGATCCCACAGGGGACCCAGGCAGCCCCAGTCATTGGTGCTCGTCCAAAGGTTGCAGGAGAATGGCCTGCGGTGCCAACTGGGAAAAACCCCACACGGCCCATAGTCCTGGGGAGTTGGACACTTGGGAGAAGTAGAAGAACCTTCCGCAGGGCCGAACAAGGTAAGGGGAGATCGCTGGAAGGCCTGATGCCCTATTAGATGGGAGGACCAGACCGACTGGAGAACCCCAAGTTCCATCTCCAGCAAAGCAGCGGAGCAGCTTCCAGGACCTGGAAGTATGGAACCCTCCCATTCAGGGAGCCGTTGCCATGCCTCCCAGCCCTGCAGCCCCACTGTGCTTGCAACTCCACCAATAGCTCCGCCCGCTGCCCGAGCAGCTACCATTCCTGCAGTTGCCCTGCCGATGGCTGCCCTGCTAGCACAGGCCCCACCCCTGGGCCTGGGAGATTGCCCTCCACCACCCCTGATGGTTACATTCGATGGGATGCCAAAGCGGCTGGCCTATTTCCTAACTCAAGTTGGGCATTACATGGTAACGCTATGGGGCCATGTACCCAGACAATGCTGCCTGCATTGACTATGTGGTCTTGTTGCTAGATGGAGATGCGACGGAATGGCCGGTGGCCTTCCACGATGATGCGCAGGAACTGGGGCATTTTGATACATTCATGAGAATCTTACAGCAAGGGTTTGAAGACCCCTACACAAATTAATGAGCTGAAACCCGCATTCGAAACATCAGGCAAGGGAAGGGGCGTTGTCTTACCTGAACGCCTTTTCTCAGCACGGAGATGGAGGATCCACAGAATGGGTGGAGACTGTATTCCTGCCCAATCAGATCAAGTCAGCCAAAGTTGTCACGCCCCGTCCTGGTTCCATTTCCCAGTCTTGACGCGAGCGTAGCCATTGACTGACCAAGAACGTACTGGCTCATAAACTAATCCTAG